GGCCGACAGCGAGTAGCCTCTGAAAGATGACAGAGAAAAGGTTACGAGACAGGTGAAACGATGGAGAAACAAGTGCGACGCGTGAACTGAAACAACGGCAAATCACGAACCAGAAAGAGAGAGAAAAGAGGAAGCCGAGCGAGGAGAGGGAAGAGGACTTGCCTGTTCAGAGGAGCTGAAGTGACAGCCTAAGAATAGCCAGAGATAGCCCTGTTGCATTGTGGGGGGGTGGAGGGTGAGGTTGGGTGATGTTGGGTGAGGCAGGGCGGGGGAGAAAGGAGGGGGGTGTACTTATATGGTGTGAAAGGGGACACCCGGCATGCCCGGCCCGTCGTGATTCACTGGGGCTAATATAGACCCAGAAATTCTTCTATACACCCCCTCCCATTCTTCCCCCCTCCCCTCCCACGTCCCATTATGACCAGGGTCTCCCTTGGACCCAATCAGGGGCGACGGCGGGAGATGTCTCATTATCTTCACGGTGATAAAGCACGAACTGAAAGGCCATGAGTTAAGTGGCTCCGATAGCTGAAAGGTCAGCAGCAGATGGATATTTGAGCAAGGTCGCAGGTTCAGATAGTAAAAGGATGAAATGATTTTAGTGAATATTCATATAGTTTTATCAACCTTCAGCTATTTGACACTTTAATCTTGACTAATTATGTAAAGAGAGGACATATCAAAGGCAAAAACTCAAAAAGTTTCCTCCAGCAATATCGCAAAACACCGCAATATATTACACCTTACCCCTGTATTGTGATACGTACCATATCACCAGACTACAGATACTAGACTGACTTTGATAAGTACAAAATACAACCTCCCTAAACATATACCAACTATGTTTAACAGTCTACTTCAGTGCTGACAGAAGAGTAACAAGACAGTCCTTTCCCTCAACAGTAACACATGTACCCCAGGTTAATGGTTTTTATTTGGGCAGGTGCTAACAACAACAGGTGAGAATTCCCCTTCACACACACACACACACACACACACACACACACACACACACACACACACACACACACACACACACACACACACACACACACACACACACACACACACACACACACACACACACACACACACACACACACACACACACACACACACACACACACACACACACACACACACACACACACACACACACACACACCTTATAAGAAACTTAAACTCTACATTTGTGTTTTGAAATTACACAAAATAGTTTTGTTTTCACTTTATTATGAAAAAAAAAAACATTTCTACAACTAAAAACCAACTAACAACTTTGTGAAACAACTTCCCTGTCAAGTTTTTTGCCTTCTTTTTTTAGGGCTCTTCAGCTTCTGTCCACCGACCGACAGGCTGACCTCAGAGCAGCCTTTATCTGCTCAGTCTGTGACATCACCTGCTAAGTTTAGACACTTTGTCACAGAGAGGAATCTGATGCAGGCACAGTGACGATACTACTGGAGGACAACTTCCCCATGGTGCATTTATAATATATATTTGACGTGTGTGTATGTTAAATAGCTTGTCTCACCTTTGGTCCTCAAATACTGAAGCTTTCTACAATTCTACAAATTATTTAGCAGATGCTTTTATCTTAGGCAATGTACATCAGAGAGTAAGCACAACACAAACAACATGTTCTAGAGAGGAGGCAACAATGCCAGTAAGTTGAAAAAACCATCGTAAATATCATCTTTGTCAATATCAAACAAAATCATCATCGTCATCAATATCATTAAGTGTGTGGGTGTCATGAACGAGCTGGGTCTTTAGCTTTTTCTTAAAGGTGAAAAAGGGACTCTGCAGGTCAAATAGAGTTTGTATGTATCGTATGTATGCTTGGGTTGGAACGATACACCAATACTTTTTGGTTAAGTTTAGGAAACACATAATGTTGTTGGTCAAAATAATAACTCAACACTTACTTGAATATTCATATTGGACTTGGTACCTGGTCTCCTGAGTGAAATCCTGAGTTAAACCCATGAATTGCCACCCAACTGTCACTTAATCAGCGTTTGACAAACCAACTAACAGCTGTGGATCTGATTAGCACTGGTGGTTAGCGTTGTTGCCTCACAGCAAGGAGAACCTGTCTGCCAGCTGGGGTCTTTTTATGAGGGGCTTTAATGTTCTCAGTGTGCCTGTGTGGGTTCAGTCCAGGTACTCCAGCTTCCTGTGATAGTGTCAAGACATGCTCTGTAGGTTAATTGTTGACCCTTAATAGCCAGTAGCAGTTCCCAAACAGCAGGTGTAAGTGTGTGTAAGTGGGACCTGTCCAGGGTGTACCCTGCCTCTCACCAAACGACAGCTTGGATCAGCTCCATCCCCCCCTAGTGACTCTTAACAGGATAAGCTGTGTAGATAATGGATGGACTGAATCATTTACTGTAATGCTTTGTTAGCCTCCTCCTCCTCCTCCTCCTCCTCACATGTCTGTACATTGATACTTTTTTTGTGGCAAGATACTGTCACTGTCTGTCCTTCAGCAGAACAATCTACATGTAAACATTTGCTTCAGAAGCTGTAGAAAATATAAGGACTGCCCTAGGAATCTGCCTGAGCTGCTCTCTCACACATGTCCCTCAGAGTGTGAAGCTCGCCCTGTCAGACAGGATGAAATCCAAGAGAGAGATAGTCTGACACTAAAGTGACGGTTTGTTGCCTTTGTATCAATGCTGTTCTTAATTGGACAGATTTACAGTGTGAGTGGTGAGGAACACACTGCTGAACAGGAAAGAATATGACGCAGATTCCCCTCATGCAAAAGATTGCACATGTCCTGCATCATTCACATGCGATAGACATCATCGCCCACTTGCTCAGAGGAAACTGTCCTGAATATTTGCGACCACACATCAGCTAACGATGACTTAACATGGACGTTTTACTAGGAGGCTAACAGGAAAAAGTACAGGTCAAGTCTGGATGAAGAAATTCAGCCATTTGTGTTGCCAAATGAATCTTACAGCAAATACCTCATCCATCGCTTATCCCACTTGGGGTCACTTGGCGCTAGAGCCAATCAGCTGTCGTTGGGTCAGAGGTGGGGTACACACAGGTCGCCAGTCAATCCCAGGCCTGACACACAGAGACAAACAACCAGTCACACTGAATGGGAAATTTAGAGCCACCTCACGAACATAACAAATCCAACCAGAAAGGCCCTCTCCGGCAGGAACTCAAACCTGGAACGTTCTTGCTGTGAAGCGACGGCACAAACCACTGCATCACCGTGCAGCACAATGTAAAATACATTGAACCAAAATCCAACCACAATGAAAATAACATGACTTTTCATCCGGTTAAAATAAAAGCTGTTTAGGCCTCGACAAGGTTTGTTAGTGGGCAGTCCAACACAGAGACACATAACGGCGATATGAGTAGGGTGTTAAATAGCGTGCATGTGTGTGGGTTACAGTATTTGATGAAAGGGGACGATGGGGTGATAGTGGATCTCTCTCTCTAAGCCTTAACAACGCAGCTGACCTCAGTGCTGACCTTTAGTTTGTCATTTTAAACGGCTCTTTAATAGAGCTGACTTAATAAGTTAAATGTCAATTTAGTTAACATAATGCTGATAACACGCGCACACACACACACACACACACACGCACACACACACACACGCGCGCGCGCGCGCGCGCACACACACACACACACACGCACGCACACACACTTTATTTTCTTCACGGTACAGGACTTTAATATTGTAGTAGCCTAATCTTTCTCTCCTTGTATTGAATATATTAATCACTTTACCTTATTTAAATCCTCATTTGGACAGTTGCTTTTTAATATTCATGTAATGTTTAATTAATAAATAAATGGTTAATTAATTAATTGGTTTTTTTTTTCCCTAAGCATTTCATTTATGTTTCTACATGGGCCACACTGCAGGCTTAAAAACAGGGGGGCACTGTTGCTACCTGTCAACTACCTGCTATTTAACAGTTATAACCTTACAATTATAAAATAGCCTACTCAGACAGATCTCTGAATATAAACAGTGTAAAAAGCTAGGTGGGAAAGAAATTAGACCTGTCTAGATATAGCATAAGCCTACTGGACACACAAAAGCAAGTTTTCGATTCGTTATTGAAATGAGCCACAGCCTGTTATCCTGTACAGCACACCTGTCATGTTATCACGGCTTTAATTAGATACATGAACGCAGACAGTTGTTAAATCAGTTATGTTCACCTCTTGTCCCAGGTGAGCTGCAGACAGACACCGCCCACCTTCCCCTGCTGCGTCCCGTCCTCTGATCCGCCCAGCAGGGCCGCTCCGTGCACGTAACTCAGCCTACACCCCGACGACAACATACACCGAATAAGTGACTCTTTACTGGGTCACGTTGAGTTAACTTTAGGGTTTTAAAAAGGGGCGCAGATACAAGTTGTTAATGTGAAGTGGGCCCACAAAGCTGTGAGGCGGGCCGGCGATGGATGCAACCTGTTGCCGGTTCCGGGATAAGCCAGGAGAAAACAGAAGCACGTGCGCTTGAACAGGTGGGACACCGTCTGAAAGGTGAATACCTGCTGAAGCTGTTTATTTCTTCGCAGCTCCGTGAACCGCCACACACCAACCGGGACAGCCTTGCGGTGATCCGGGGATCCAGCTCCGGTGCCCGGGCCGGGCAGAGAGCGCAGGAGTGAGGCCCAGGGGTGGAGGAGGGGGAGGGGGAGGGGGAGAGAGAGGGAGAGGGGGGGAGGTGGTGTTTACGGTGGATTTTCATTAGCGGGGTTTTTATTTAAAGCTACAGTATACACTGACACTCCTGTTTGTGTGGTCACAGGTAGCAAACGTAGGGGAACTGCCACTGCCATGACCTCTTATTTAAAATAATGAACATGTTTTATTCTGCTTTGCTCAAACTCATAAACCAACATGTTCATGTGAAACAGGAATATGCCCAATATTCTACATTATCTGTATAAAATGCTAAAACCTTCTCTCTATGTACACAGACATGAATAAAGGTGTTCAACAACAAATACAGTGAATAGAAGGAATTTATTTAGAAAAATAAATAAAACACTGAAGTAACAAATCTACAATAAATCATCTTCCTGTTTTTTAAACATCATTCTTTCTGAACAGTCACTTTAATACACAAGGATTAATCATACAAACATCTGAAATATACCCAGTATCCTCACTGTTTATGTAACACTATGCAGAGTATAACTGTCAAAGATTTGTTTGCACTTTCTGCAGCTGGACGCTAGGAGAAATAAAAATTGCAAGAAAATGAACTAAGCTGGATTCAGGTGCGCTCATGCTTTAGATTCACCTGAAATAACTTTGTTTAGATAAGTTAAATAGCTCGGTTCTACTTAGCTAATGGTTCAGTTTTACAGCTTAAAAAGCTGCTCAACAGTCTGCTTGGCTAAATAGATGGAAACTTTCCTCCCAGCTAGAACTAACCGGTCACGAGTTGTCATATCTGTGTTATTTTACAAGAGCAGACAAAGAGGAGTCTTTGGGAAAGGTACATAAACCTCACACAGACCATTGTGTCAGATTAGCTTGTAAAACACTGCATTACAATCAACAATTATGTCTCTTTAACCCCCCTTATTAACACAAACAACACCATGGTCACATCCACTACACTACTCTTTAGCAAAATATACATTTAAAATATTAAATGAAGAAAAGAAACACAAACAGAAGAACGCAAACTGAAGAACACCTGAAAGCAGGAAATCTCTTAACAACATTTAAAAATGTCTTTTGGCTGTGAAAGTGCTTTTGCAGGAGCATGACATAGTACCAAAATGTTATCAGGAATGTATAGCCAATAGAAATTGATCTTTACATTTGTCTATACCAGTGGTTCCCAAAGTGGGGCCCAACATGCATGGTTAATAAAAACACTGAGTAAAGCATGGCAGATTTTGTGGGGGGACTTCAAGGGTAAATGTGTGGCTGAAAATAAATCTACACATGTCTCTTTATTAAGATTGTGTAAGTCCTCGTGCTCATGGACTTTGCTGATTTGTGATGTGTGTATTATTTTTGTTGGAAAATGCAAAATAAAATATTATAAAAAAAAGAAATAAAATAAATCTACACTAAACTAAACCTAGATATCAGTATCTGTTTTGATTTCTTCCTCTTTTAAACTGGCTTGCTAGTCCTTTTTTTCAGTAAACTGCTTTTCTGTCATTCTTCCAATGTTTGAGAGGGGGGCCCAGCTTTTAAAGTTTGGGAACCGCTGGTACAGGTCAGAGATGCTGTTGGTCTGGAACATGTTTATCCCAGCTTAGCATAAAGACTGGAAGCAGTGAGACTGGAAACTGGTAGCTTTGCCACAAAAGTGGAAAAATATACTTCTCAGCCAGTCTGCCTACAGACAAGAAAGCCCAGTTAGATTTGATGAAATATTGTTCATAGATTTTAACAGTATGATTAAATTTAGGCTTTTAGAAAAATAATTATACGTGCGTTAAAAAGAGTTGTTTCTTGGTTTGGGTTGCTAAAGCAGAAGCTCAATAACACAAGTTCAACTTTACATAACCTTGATTAAAACAGTGCTAGGATAAAATGCCGATTGCTTGCAAGTCCTGGTTAAAGTTACTGTAACGTTGAAGCTTTTGTTGGATGAGTTAACCAGGGTGCTTTTTCAAACTATCTTTATTTCTAGGATACGAAGGCTGTTCTTGTTTTCAGATTTAAAGTTTGGTTTTGAAATAGTCTCTTTCGCAGTGTCTCAGTCGACTCATTGAGAACCAATAAAACTTTGCACCTGTCAAATAACTCTGCAGAGGACTGAGCTGAATAATCACAGGTTAATAATAAAATGCAACAGATACCAAGAACACAAACAGGGAACCACAGATTTTGTTTTAAAAATCGCACCGTGTGCCTAAAAAAAAATCATCCATTTCCAAACAAATAGTCATCACATATTCATGCTGGGCTGTCTTAGAACCTCCTTTTACCTCTCTTAGAGGAACTCACACATACACACAACCATAAGAAGACAGTCAAAAAACAACAACCTTGTGTCTATTTGCATCCTCTGACTGTGGAACAAAAATCAGAAGCATTAGTTCATCTCCAGGTGATTGTTTGGCTTCAGTACTATACAGGCCTTCATCATATAATACCGTGTTGTGAGTCCACTGAAGTAGTCCTACATGATGGTTATACAGCCACAAAGGGTTTTCACTTGATTTGTCTGATTACCTCTTCTCTGGACAATAGGGCCCTTCATACGAGTAGACTTTGAACTGCACAAACTGGCTATGCTGTCCATACACGGAGGTCTAATCAGCCAAATGAACAACTAACACCTGTGTGTAGGTGTGTGAGGCTTTGATACAAAATGAATAAACAGTAATAGGCCTCCCAAAGAGAAATAAAAGCATTATTTACAGATGATCTTTTTATTCCACCGATAATTCGCTGAATATAAAAGAACAACTTAACACGGAGTACATTGTTTTGAAGTGGTATAATATATAAATGTACTCTATAGGATCCACAGTAAATGTAAAATTGTCTTTTGACTTAAACGTTGCAGGACAGCAACATGTTTCACCACTGACGTTATAGGTTGTGTCCATGTTTGCTTATTTAAAGGTTTAAATTAATTTCTTTCATGGCTTTGTTTGTTTCTGAGCTTTATGTAAACTCAATTTTTTGGTGTTTTTTAAACTATTCTTAAATACTGTATATGACTCAAAGTGAGATGGTCACTTGGCTGCATGTGATCAGCCAGGAGGAGGCCGGGTTTTACCCCGACCCTGCCTTTGTGTTGTTGTGGGTCGTCTTGGAGCCTTTCCGCCCAATGGGCAGGAAGGGGCTGGACTCAGAAGTGACGACAATGCTCGGGATTCGACCAATCGTGCCTCTCCTTACATGTTGCTCTCCAAAGTCCCCGCCCTGTCAGACAGACACACAGACAAAGGCTGTGTTACCATAAATTTATTCTAATTAGTTTGTACTTGTAGAAACTATACTCAAATCTGTTTCCCAAAAAATGTTTGGGATATTGTTTGAAATGTTCTTCAAAGCACAATGTGATGATTTTCAAAACTTTAAATTCACATTTTTAATTGAAAATAGCACAAAGACAACATATAAACTGTGGAAACTGTTGAATGATTTACCGTTCTTTCTAAATGTAGGCTTTCAGCTGTTCTACAGTTCAGGGTCCCCTTTGTCTTGTTTAGTGGTTCATATTGCTCTAAACATTTCCAATGGGGACAAATCAGGAGTGCAGGAAGGCCAGTTAGTTTATCGCCTGGAGTCGTACAGAGCCACACTGTTTGCAATATGTCCAGAATGTGTTTATGCAGTGTCTTGCTAGAACAAACAAGACCCTTGAAGAAAAAGCTGTGTACATGGCAGCATATGTTGCTCCAAAACCGGTAAGGTTCAGCATTAATAAAGCCCTCACAAATGTGCAGGTTGCCATTGCCATGAGCATGACTGCACCCCCATACGATCACAGATGCTGGCTTTTGAGCTGTGCACTGACAACAATGGGTTATGGTCCCTCTCCTCTGTGGTTCAGAGAACAGGGTGTCCAATATTTCCAAACAGAAAGTCAATTTCTGACTCGTCAGACCTCAGGACAGTTTTTTCCATGAGCCTGGACCCAGAGACGGAGGCTGCATTTCAGGCAGAGATTCAGCAAGCATTTGTGAACGCAGCGATGCAATGTGTTCACTGAGGGGTTCCTACGCCCATGCAGTAATGTCCACTACACTACAGGGTCCTGTCTGTTTTCAATGCAGTGCTGTTTTATAGCAGTGGACAATTAATCCATAATTTATTTTCAGTTTTTAAAAATGTATTACAATATTTTGTATGTATTGCGTCATTTAAACTGCATCACTTTGCATTACACTACTAATAATCCATCCATCCATTATCTATAGGCTACTGCTTATACCGTTTGGGGTTGCATGTTAAATCGCACATCCCTGAATTTGTGTCTTGTGTTTTGCTTTATTTGTCTTTTTTTTTTTTTTTCAGAAAAAGAGTTTTAAGTAGTTATTCAAAATATGAAAAGGCATTGTGTCTCCTTCTTCTTTATCTGTAGTGTGTGCAGCCCTGTGAATAAATGATGCTCACATTAGGGATGCTGCCGCGTTCACTGGCTCCTACCAAGGAGAAATCAGTGTCATATGACGTCTGTAAGAAAAACAAACAAGCGAATGTTAGTCCATGTGTATTCACCAACATCCAGAAGCAGCAATCATGATGGAAATCCTCCTCAATGCCAAGATATAGATTCATTTGTAAATTAGATTTAATCAGGGATGCAGGCAGGAGGCCAGATTATAATCCATCAAACTCTAATCAATTACCAGGAATTTCAATGTACCTTTTAAAAGATCAGTGATAGATTTGAGTCAATGATTAAGATCAAAAGAAAAGAGGATTTCCTGATTCAAGCTGAAAAGCACATCAAGCAGATTAAAACCACAGAGCAGCAGATTGTGTTGAACACTGGTGTTGTGAAAGAAAATGTTTCAGAGCGGCTTTCATCAGACCAGACACAGACAGCCTCAAATGACCCCCCTAACATGACCCACAATCCTGATGACTCCCCCTCAAGTGACCCTCCTCTTCCTCCTCTCCAGTTGAAAGCAAAGGTAATAATCGACATAAAGGGTAACAGATCTAAACATCTTTGTTGTTGTGATCTGATGTATTATTCATCTGCTGTAAGGTCGACAAGGACAAACTCTCGGGAGAAAACAATGATCTATGATTTACACCCTCTATGAATACAATTTATCTTTCACAGAAGCAATAAATATTGTCAGTTCCTGACACCGACACCTGTAGCTGAAGGAGTGTAAAACATCCAACAAATCAAGTACATGAAAAGAATCTGTGGCATTTTGGACCAATATTGATGCAGAGTCAAAAAGTTAAAGCTATTTCAGGCAACCAGGTGTAAATACATAGATCATGTTCTAAGAGACTTTCTTTTTTTTTAAACCACAACTCAGCTTAAAGTCTTTGTTGAATTTTACCATCCCCAACATCTGTGAACATCTGTGATCCTTTTATATGAATTTCCACATTGTGCAGTGATTATGTGTATCCCATTTTGCAGGGACCTATAACGAGCAACACACGTTATGATTCAGGGTCACTTAAGGATGCATCTGGTAACCATGAAGGTGGGTTTAAGTGTTTTGACTCCTTCGCAACCGCAGATGAGAGGGTACTGCATTGTATTGATTTTAATGTACGGAACAGGACTGCTGTTTCTATGGAAGCGTAATGCAAAAAAAAAAAAAACTCACTTTTGAAAAAATAAATCTGCTGTTTTTCTGAATTACGGCCTAACAATCTCATTAATTCAGAAACAGAAGATTCTTAATTTATCAAGTCAAAGCAATATGTTTCTGTATGTTTCAAATGAATTCATATTAAGGAGATGCGTTAACTCCACTGCAGTTTATTGGAGTTTCATTCTGGGGAAGATTCCCACTTTCTATAATGGATATATGCAGCTGTAAAAAGTAGCAGTAGTGAAAGTAGAGAAGAAGAAAACTTTAAACCTTTCTTAGGGCTGTACTTTTGTATGTTTGTGTTTTAACACGTTGTTTTTCTTGAGGTCATCAGCATCCTGGACAACTGAATTGATTGACAGGTGAGAGATGTTAACCTTTTCAAAGATGCCCGAGTCGTGGCTCTTCATCTTGGACTTGAAGCTGGAGGAGGGTTTGAAGTCGGGGAGCTCAGCCGTGTCTCTGCTGATGTCACAGGAGACCTGGCGGCTGGCGGGTCTGGAGCTCATACTGGACAGATCCGCCTCAGTGTCTGTCATACCCTGCAGAGGAAAACAAACACTTTGATTCACACACACTGAGTATCTGCCTCTCTTGCTTAAGATTTCAAATCAGTCAATGTCATTAAACAGCTCAAATTGATCAAAGCTTACCGATTCGCTGTCGGAGGCGGAGGAGAGGCGGGACTTGCCGTTGCTCTGCCGTCTGAACTGGCTGCTGATGTCGGAGGTCTGGCTGGTCACAGTGGAGCGACGTGTCGACATGAAGCTGCTGCTGGCAGAGCGGAGGTCACGAGGATGAACACAGAGCAGGACGCCGAGACATGGGATGTACTTAGCTAACGCTAACCTGGACAAAGAGATCATGAAATCAGACTTTATCTTTTGCATTTCTGACAACAGTCAATGTAGCAATTGTCTTCTGCTTCCTTAATTCTTGTCATGACTGTGTGGTTAGCAGGTTTGGTACGATTGTGCCTGCAGAAAAAACAAAATGTTTTCTCCCAGAGTTTATCTGGCAGCTTCCCCAAAGTATGCTGGACAGATACAGTTGTTTACAAAATGAATATTTCCTTTCCTTTTCCTTTATGCTTTATGCAGAGCCATGCTGTTTCCTCCTACTTTCTGTCTTTGTGCTTAGCTATACTGTGTTTCAAACTTATTTCGGTTTGGGTCTAACCTTATAACCTTTGACGTTGGATCAAAGGCAGGAAACACCTCAGTTGGACTTATATTTTCTGTAACTTTGATTCTTCAGTGAAAGCCGTAATTTTCTTCATTGAACTTTAAAGTTTTTCCTTCAATATGTTATTTTACATGTTGGAAAAAAGTGTTGTAGTAGTTACTTACTGTAACAATTAAGGTCATGTGTCTTCATCTAACCTTAATGTGTGTTTGAGTGTCTCCAGCTCAGATAACATTCAGGTTGGACAGCAGTCAAATTAATTAGAGTGCTCACATCAGGGGAGATCAATTTTAGAACAGGCGACGCTGCAGGCAGGTTAGCTGGAGTTAAATTACCATTTAATACAACTGAAGGTCGTATCAAGGAAAACAGATTTTGTTTTTTATAGCTTACCCTGATTACTTTATTTCACTTTGTTGTATTTTCTCTTCTAGTGTTTGTCAATTATTCTTTTCCAAAATCAGTCTAAAAGGAAAATTATTGTTGAAGATGTTAACACTTTAAAAACCGATGAAACCGATTTTTTTGTTTTGTAGGTGGGTATAATGAAATCATCTGTGTGTGTTACCTGTATTTTGGGTGTGTGATGGCATAGATGATGGGGTTGTGGATGGCTGAGGCCTTGGCAATGACAGCGGGCACAGAGTTCATGTAGGGAGTCAACATGTCTGAGTACCTGCAGCAGGAAATAGAATTAACACAGTGAGGGAGCAGAAAGAACTGTGTGGATTTAGTATCTTGATCATAGACACTTTAGGCAACTGCATAGTGGGACGTGAGGGGTCAAATCCCATCTTCTTAATATATCTAATCTTCTTAAAAATATCATTTTGGGAGGCTTTCTGAGAACGTTGTTTTGATTTTAAGAGTATTTCCTCTTTTAGGTAGTAAGTGTAATTATAGACAGATTCAGGACACTTGTTATCTGCCTGTAAGTCAAGCCCAATTCATGAGATCGGTGAGTAATTTAGTGCACTTAACAGGAAACATAGCTCTAATGTACATCAACATTATAGAATGACATAACTAAAGGGTAAATAAGATAAATTGTCCTGTGATGCTTGGCTAGCTTTAAGTGTGATTTAATTCTGCCTGTACTTATAGATATCCTCTTGTACTTACATTTTCATTATGTGTGAAATAAAAACTGAGCACATCATGATTCACATCAGTATCTCCAATTTATGCTTCTTTATAATTGAACGCTTTAATAGGAAGAAAACATTCAGTCATATAGTCTTAAATCCTCCTGAAGATTTCAATTGAGCACACAGACTTCACTGGTGTTTTCAATCCACATCAGCAAGCCACAGTCTTCTTTGAGCAGTATCTCGTGGGCACTGGTGGATTTGAATGATTTTACAGTGATGTTCAGTAAGCAGCCTTTGTCTGTATGTGTTTTTTTTTTTTTTACCCAGCAAAGGCAGTGAGAGCGACGCTTGAGTATGGCGACCAGGAGATGACGTAAAGCAGGATAACGATCAGAGCGATCTTGGCCATCTTCCACTCGTTTTGCAGTCGGTGGAAGTTCTTCGCCGAGTCCCGACTGCTGCCGTGACTGTGAATGCTGCCACTCATCTTCCCCACAGCCCTGGAAAACACAAAACCCATGGTGATGAAATTGTGAGAATATTGTGTTGAGCTGTGAACAAAAACCAAGCAATTGGATTAGTCAGAGCCAGGATCATTTGTTTTTATTAAAGTTGGTAAAAGACAACCAGTCGTTCCACCCTTCCTAAAAGAAAATCAAAATCTCACTTCTTCAGAAACAATTTATTTAATTTACTGTCGTGTCCAGGTACAGTACATGAGGCTGACCAGTGCCCAGTTTATAAATAAATAGGTCAAAGGTTGCTGTTACAAAGACATAATGAAGGAGGTTAATTAAAAGTCTGGCTTTATGCTTTCTGAGGTCGGTCTGCATGATGACACAAAGTCAGGAGATTTCCAGAACGACAGGCTTTCCCCAAGTTCCCCTTAAATAAATGTGTTTCTTCATTTGAATAAACGTTCCTTTGTATAAATTGCCATCTTTTTGACTTTTTGTATAATCGTGGTGTTTGGGAAACTTTGTTTCACCATACATAAAATGAAATAAATAAACGTAAACAAAGCACACTGAAAAAAAACAAAAACAGGAACACATCAATCACACACACAAACAGAGACTTACTGGTTGGTGTTGCGGATGGCCCGAAAGATGAAGACGTAGCAGTAGATGATGATGAAGAGTGGCAGGAAGAAGACAAAGATGCAGAGCAGCATGGTGTATGCTCGGACCGACGGGGTGAAGGTCATGTAGTCCCATGTGCAGGACGTCAGCAGGCCCTCTGGGACATAGGCACCTGAAGGAGAGAGAGAGACCCAGAAATTAAACAGAAAATAAAGACCGTTTTAATGTCCCATCATGTTCTCACAATAAACCTGGATGCCCTTTGGACCCCATTAAGATTTTTTCTATCCTCCCATTTTTTTCCCCTGAAGTTTCCTGAACTGTGTGAAACAGTGCCCCTCTGGTTTCATTTACTATGTGTGGCCAAAGATATTAATGCACCCTTATCAACAACTACTGGATGAAAAAATATTAACATCAAAAGCCTAAAAATACATTTTCAGAAATAAGTTATTTTATTTAAATAAGCAGCAATGGCAGAGGAACATTATAGACCATTCTCGGATGTAAAACCACTAATACCACACTGTAAAAATACTTAGTTGCAAGTGAAAGTCCTACCAGGGACGGCTTGAGACATCAGCAATGTCGACAGTTGCCTAGGGTGCTACATTGTCAAGGGAGTTTAATTAGAAAAAATAAAAACTGTCAGGTGGTCAATATTTGTTTTATTCATTTATTGATAATAACATTCCACAACTGGTATCCAAATATAACTTTTGAAGCATTTTGAATTCCTTCATATGTCAAAAAATAAACAAGAATACTGATTTAATCATTTACTTGACTTTAACAGTGTAGTATTCATTGCTCCACTTTCACTCTTGAGTCTACTATCTGTCTAACTTGGCCTCTGTAGCCCTCAGGGTTTAAATGAGCTCCTCACTTCAATGTTAATACAACAGCTGGTACCATTCTTTTCTGTTTGGACAAGATCAAATAATATACAGGGGAAGAATGCTAAGTGGTCATATTTATAAGAATAACACTTCAGAGTTTTTTCTGTTGTTTAGAAAATTTCACACTCTCATGAAAGCATTTACTCCCCACATTGACCTCCACCAGACCTGAACCTATAAACTCTCATAGAAATATTTTCTTTTATTTAATGTCTCCTCATGAGAACATTCAGATCTCATGAGTATAAAAAAACAAGAGCTAAGACACATACTCTCATACCATACTACAACGTATTGCTTAAACAAGCTGTACATTGATGTGTAACATTTTCCACCTGGACGGAGTCTGGAGAGTTTTCACTTCAGATTGACGAAGATTTATGGGGAGATTTATGTTCCATACATTGGGATTTACATATCAATGTGAGATCCAGCCAGCTGAGGAGAATGAAAACCAGGTGAGAGGAAGAAAATCTCACAACACATGTCAAGTGTGTGTGTGTGTGTGTGTGTGTGTGTGTGATGGAGTGTGACCTTGGAATGAACCAATAAAAAATGAGATTTGAAGGACAAATGAGCAATAAGTTTGAGGTGATAAAGAGCTTTGAGGATAAGTGTGCTGAGATAAAAAATGGAGAACAGTACAGACTGGTATATAGGTTATTGTTCTGTGTCTGTGTGTGTGTGTGTGTGTGTGTGTGTGTGTGTGTGTGTGTGTGTGTGTGTGTGTTTAAGTGCTTACTCCAGCCAAAGAACGGTGGCAGGCTCCAGCCCAGAGAGTAGGCCCAGGCTGCCGAGAGGATGAGAAAGGCCCGTTTCCTGGACAATTTTCCGATTGAGGTCAGAGGTCGCGTGATGACAAAGTAACGGTCGATGGCAATCACCATCAGCGTGATCATGGAGCAGATACCAAAGAGAGCGCCGCAGAATGCATACAACTCGCAGCCTGGCGACAGATGGAAGATCAAGTTTAGATGTCTGTGTGTCTGTCTGTCTGACTGTCTGTCTGTCTGTCTGTCTGTCTGTCTGTCTGTCTGTCTGTCTGTCTGTCTGTCTGTCTGTCTGTCTGTCTGTCTGTCTGTCTGTCTGTCTGTCTGTCACTGTCTGTCTGTCTGTCTGTCTGTCTGTCTGTCTGTCTGTCTGTCTGTCTGTCTGTCTGTCTGTCTGTCTGTCTGTCTGTCTGTCTGTCTGTCTGTGTCTGTCTGTCTGACTGTCTAAAGTTATATTACTCATGCTTCAGAACATTCAGACTTGTTGGTCTGCTGCTGCCTCATACGCTTGTTATTGTAATTGTTTGACTTTTGCACTTTAAAAGGTTAGTTTGGATCTTGACAATATTTACAAAACAACAACAACAAAAACAACCAAACATGGCAATGGTAGACCAGAAACTCTTTTGTGCTACCACATAAAGTTACTGTCTTGGTCAATGAAGTCTGGTTGCCATTAGGGTCTGTTCCTGAGTCGGCAGCTAAAGCAGTCTGCTGGAGGAATTGTACAAATCTTTCTACTTATTAGTCATATACAACCAGGTTTAACATCATGGTATTCCACTTTGAGGGTAAAATAGTAGATGGAGATTTGAGCAGAAGGAAAATAACATCCCTTCATTTTCAGGAATTTTCACAAAATCAGTTCTACTGGTGCTTTAGTAGACTTTGGCTTTGTCATGAAACGAGTTCAACAAATCAGGCTTTGTATGAGTTAGCTGGCTCAACAAAGCCTGAAGCTTCAGTTAGACCTATCAGGTTTCAAGAAGGTGGTTATGAACTTTCACTTTGAACTCAGGCTTTCTGCTTCAGGCTCTAATCACACGGCCTCACCCTAACCCTAACCCTACCCTTAAGTTATGGTAGTTAAAAATTACACTACTGCTGCAAGGAATGAGAAGGATAGTGCAGAAAAGGATTAACTTACTTCCAATATGATATTAATTTTACCATCTTAACTGTTTGTGTAGCAACTGTTTTTTAAATGTTTATTGCCAATGTAAATTACCTACAGTACAACAATGAGACACATGATTTCAGCTGTACAGGCAGGAACTTTATGAAAATACATGACAGACCTTGCTTTGCCCAAACAACCGTCAAAGTGAAGGGTCGTCATTAATGTAAAAACATTGTCACTGTAAACAGACAAACATTTGAAGCCAAATTAAAGCTGAAACGCTGAACATCACCACCATTTAAGATGATACGACAATCTCTCTTATAACTTAATCAGGGCCTTACTTCCTGCTAGAAGTTGTCAAACTTCATAAATACTTTAAAAGTTCTTCCACTTGGAAAATGGATGGTTGTATACAGGGACAGATGTAACTACTTTAACATGATGTGACAGCCTCTAAATGATAATATTTTCAGAAAATAAACCCAAACCATCTTTATGAGGAGATAAACCATGCATGTGGGTTTTCATGGACTGGGTGAAACGATCCTTTAAACACAAAAACAGGGTAAGGAAATGACAGCATCTGAAATAATAAAATTTGCTTTTCCAGTCCCCCCTTTTTTTTTTTTTAAAGCTTTAACACTGATTTCTTGCTTAAAATTCAATGAATAAAAAGCAGTAACTCAACACCTCCTCTGCTTGTCCTTCACTTCATCTTTCAGCTAAGGGAATTAAACACCAGCAAACCACTCGCTGTCATATTAAAATGACCTCAGAGCATCTCTCCAGGGAGACGGAGGAGGATCGAATTAAATGTAAACACAGTCCAGAGATTCTCTAATTCGCACTGTCAGGTTGGGAAATAGAAAGTGATCTGAAGGTCTGAAGGTGAAGGCACAGAGAATAGACAATTTCCCTTTCTGCAGTAAAAATGTGTAGCGTTTACCTTTCTCTCCAAAGATCCACCTCTTGTGCATGCTGGTGGTGAAGAAGATGGGTGTCTGGGTGACACACATCAGCAGGTCTGTGATGGCCAGGTTAATGATGAACATGTTGGCCGGCGTCCGCAGGCTACGACTCCTGCAACACACAAACACAAAACCACACACACACACACAAGCATGTTTAAACCATGACAGCAGCAACAGTCCTTTCCTGTAGGGTGTGTCCGGACTTTTTTGACTCAGGTGACCCCACTGAGATACCAACTTCCGCAGTGTTTGTGTGTCAAACACCAAACATCAGAATCATATACTGTGCAAGTAAATGATTCCTCCTTCATAATTCTGAATCAACACTGGTGAAAACATAAAACTACTTGGCTGCCAGCTGCCTTTAAACCTCTGAGAAGAATGCTTGCTTGTAGCAGCTTGCTGTGTTTCTTCAATTTATTAAAGTCTATTTTCTCTCTATATATTTAACCAGGACTCTAGTTTTTGGCCTTATAACAGCCTTATAATCACAGAATATTTTATAAAGAAATGTATTGTAAATTGAAGCAAATAATTCAGGTACACTTAAGTCCCTTAAACACGTGCTGCACTGCTGAAAGTGTTAACTGAAGTGGCAGTATGTGAAAATACAAATGTTGAAATCATTTCACAAGGAGATTGATAATCCAGACAATTAACAGCCACCCTCTGCGTGTGAGTGCAGCAGATAATTGTCTGAAGCATTCACAGAGATGGGCGTGTTGATGAAGCTGTTTAGCCTGAACGATGTTTTTCCTCTTCATATTGCTGCTCGCCTCATTTGCCTGTGTGCTGTTTTTTACTGTTGTGTTGGTATCCTAACACGTTCTTTTTTTACACTGAAACAAAAACATGTCATGTTTAAAGCAGAGTCCTGGTCCTTGGTGCTAAACCAAAGTATCTCCAGTAGTTTGAAACACGTCTCACAAACTGCTGAAATTGTCTAGATACGCAAATCCTGACCTCTTCCAGTCTTGATCGCTCAAAGATTTCACAAGAGAGTTCATATTTTCATTTTATTATTATTCATGTTTGGATAAATGTGTTTACTTCAAGTGACTGATTGTAAACTGGCTGTTAAAACAATCCTATCGTCTCTTATCTCTAACTGTATTCTTTCTGCTCAAGCAATAGTCGTCAGACTTCAAACAGTAACCAGTGAATCAAAAACGATGTATTGGCCCTTATAAATTATCTCCACTAGCCAAATCTTTGTCAACTAAAACTGATGGCTTCTGATATCAACACAAGCAGCAGGTGTCAGGACTCTGTGAGTCTTTAAGTGTTTCAGAGGATGAAGAGGAGTTCTACTTCTAGGTCTAAAATTAACATCTAATAAATAGAAAAGCCTGTCAGAGCAGGTTTGATCGTAATGAAAGATCAATTCTTGTCCCTTAAATGATAACCAATGAGTGGAACTATTTGTGCTGAAGCTTTATTTGGGAAATCAAGAAAATGTTCTGCTTTGTGTTTAAGAGGAAGATGTTTACTGTGATGGAAGATAAAAGACAGAGTGTGGCGTCAATAAAAAAACAAAGCTGGCATGACTCAATATGGACCCTGAGTGCTGTTCAGAAGATTAAAGTGAAAAACCTTTGCAGCTTGAAAAGACCCTTTTGTTTGTCCCATTTGAGGATAGTCTTTGTTCTATCAAACATCAAGATGAAATAAAACAAAATGGTTTCAGATTTTTGCTGTCTGCCTCTTAAAGGTCCAAAAAATATATCTACTGAATTTAATCATAAAATGACCTTACTATAACCCTTTTCACACATACGGAGATCTCCTGAAAAACTCTGGAGGTTCTTTAGGCTATATGTGAACACAAACAGCCGAAATTTTCACGCAGACTTTACACAGAGTTTCTCCGCCAGACCCCTAGTATTTTTTCTGCAGACAGGCAGAGGGAGCTGAGGTCTGAACGCAGCAGCATATACTCCGGAGATTTCAACTCGAGCCAATAGAAAGAGAATGACGTTTATATACAGTGACTGCATAAAGTGTCTGCACGCAACCACTACGATCTCCGTGCACGTAATTACACGGTTGCATTATGTTTTCTGTTCCTCAGTATGTTGTTCTCCACTCTTTTGTGGATGTTGTCATTCCATTGGACCAGGTTTCAAGACCGATGCAATGCAAGCTAAACACTGAAGCTTCAGTTTCCACAACATGGCAACCTGTGTGCACATCGAATCCAGGGAGGAGGGGGAGGGAGGAGACAGCTCTCTTCAATGTTTTGAATTCAGACTGAAGTACCCATTTTAAACATTTCAATGTGACTCAAGAAAACATTTTTATTGTTCATATTTTTCCGCACTTCTCTACCTAGTATTTTTAAAAGACAACCAACAGTGAAGCAATGCATAACACAGAGCCACATTTGCTATTCATTTAGCCTGCCTTGGTAATAGCAATGGAGCATTAAAAAATATGTTTGGCAACAGGACATCTTAAAGGGCACACTCTAGCTTATTGCCTTTCTCTCTGTGTTGCTTTGTGTGATATGATAGTTGAGTCTGTCTGTTCCTCTGAATCAGCATCCATCAGTGCTGTAGCTCAGTGATGCTACTTTATGCTCATAAGGAAAGGCAAGTTTATTTATAAAGCACATTTCAACAACAAGGCAATTCAAAGCGCATAAGGACACAGAAATTCAGTTTCAGCAAAATAATCAGACACAGAATCAACCAAGCGGCCTGTGTCGGTTTAAAGCTGCCTTTTGGATGATGCTCATAAATAAAGTTTTGTTTACTTTCAACTCAGGGAAAAGTTACTGTTTGTATCCCTGACCCCTCACAAATTAGTTTATTTCTCCCAATGTGCACATTTACAGTATATCAGTTAAACCAAACAGGGACCCATATATACTACACTGTCAACCACATTTCTATAAAACTTTGCATACAATACTTTGCTAGTTAAATATAACTAACTGCAACGTCCTATATAAAACATGAGAAGTTGCCAGTTTCTGCTGACTTTCCATAATCGACCGAGTTTGAGAGGAAGAACACAACCATATTTGGGCACAGAAAGTTGTCTTACTTGCAGAAAGCGTATATAACCAGGAAGTTGCCAATCATGCCGGTTATTCCGATGACGAGGATGACGGAGCCGATGGTGTAGTGGGCGTGGTCAGGCACATCCACTGTGGGGAAGGGATTAGGGGCCTCGGGTGCCATCGCCACCTAGAATACCAAACAGGAAGTGACGTGTTAATGTGATCAAGGTTGGTAACAACCACAGTCCTTGAGGTTTATTTTGCAATGTGACAATATTTCAACAAAATGAAGATGTTTAATGGTCAAAATGACGCTGTGTTCATTACAGCCACAATATCAAAGAATTACAGACAAAAACCGACATGCTTATGATTTATCTACCTATCGTTTCTCTATAGGGATATAAAGTTTAAACTCACTGCAACACGAGACAAATCATCATTTTAATATCCTGAAGTGACATGATAGAATTAGCAGAGATTAAAAAGTCCTTCCCATCAATGACATTTCTATTCAACAAAATGATAAACCTTCACGTCCACAGACCTCCCTAATCACCATCCTAATTCCTTTTCAAAGACTAATATCTCCACAGGCCCACACATCACTGTTTCTAATTAACGTTCTGCCTCACATCTCTCCATCCTGACTCCCTGTTGCCACGTTAACTGCATAAATTACTCCACTAGCAGCTGAACCATTGGGCAGACAGTTAATCAGAGAAGGAGGTCAGTTAATCAACTGGGAAGCAAACTGGAGATTTTATCAAATTGCCTACAAGATCTACTCTAAAATACCTGATCTGCTCATTCTGCACTGTATCATGAACCATTTTTTCTAATAGTCTCACATGATCAACTCAGAGTGTTCTATAGATTATGTTGAATATCTGGTTTAAAATATCAGCAGGGCAGGCAGACTTAACTGTTCCTAATTGGTGATGTATCACTAAACTATATAATGCGAAATCAAATGTAATAAGTCCACTGTTATTAGACAAACTTTCACCTCACCCCCAGCCATAACTTAATAGTGTTTCGGCAGTATATTTGAGCTGATTAACCTTGAGCAATGCAAATATTGACCAGGCACCATCCAGCCAATCAGAGCTCAGTATCTGTGCGGATTTATAACAGGCATTCTTGTGTGACGTTGATGCTTCTCGCCTCCTGCAGTGACCCATGAGGAAAAAAGCCACATCTGGTTTTAAATGTGTGTTAAGCTGTTAACGCTCAGAGCTCCAAACAGTCAGCTTATTGCGAAAAGAACCGGTGAAGGACGCCCTGACGAGGATGGAGTCTGATACGATGTGACAGTGATGTGACCAGTGAGGTGATGCAGCAGGCGACAAACAAGCAAACAGCGCGGCTTAAGGACACGCAGCCATCTGAATGCAGCCTCACCCTGTGAATCAGCACGAAAATCATTTGAATAAGAAACACACATTACAGTGATTCAGTGAAAATGTATCACAACCGTTTATTGTGTTGGACATAGAATGACCACAGGTTGCACTGTAAAAACCATGCTTGGTTACTTGTCTCTAACAGGGTTATAAACAGTGTGTTTATTAAACTCAACAATTAATTTTCTTAGATTGCAGCGTGCAACTTAAAAATGGTTTATCACTCCTTTTCACAGGGTAATTCCATTGTCCACCTGTAGGAGGCTATACTCCTCATTATATGGTCTACACACAGTATGGTTTAAAAGATTTCTATATACCTGTAAGTAACAATACCTGTACCATTAAAGTGATACCATTACCATGACTAAATGCATGGCTGGGTTAAACTAAACTGTTTCTGGATAACAAGTAAAGATAAAGTCATGCATCCTTGTAAAGTCGTTTTCATGTATCTGGTTTTAGACCTGCTTCTCTGCTATATTATTATTACGTCATTATTCATATAATGCAAAAGTCCGTTGTATTTGTTAAGTAAGGAATCATAAAAATTTAGTTTAGAGGTTTTTACATAAAAGAAAAATAAAACTGCAAAACAAAAGTCTGCTGCTGTGTGCAGTCTCTGTCATGATTTGGTCTGTTTAACGTTTGTATTTCAAAGTTTAGACCTCCTTTTTTGAGTTTTTCTTATTCTTCTCCAGCGTTGCTTGTGTCCCTTGTGTTTCTTTACATGTGTCCTAGTTTAGTCTTTAGTGTTTCCTGTTTTATTTTAGTATCCTAGTGTATCTCTCTTTTCTATGGTTAAATTCTTGAGTTCTCTGTGTCTTTAGTGTTTTAGATTGTAGTTCTTGTCTCAAGTGTTTCTTGTCTTTATTCCTGCCTCTGTGTCTTTCCATACAGTGTTGATTGCCCTCATTGTCTTCACCTGTGTCTTGTTGGTCTCACCTGTGTTTGATTACCTTGTCTATTTAATCTCTGTGTTTCTTCCCTTCTGTGTCAGATCATTGTTGTATGTCAATGTAAGTTGTCCCCGTGGCCCACAGTCTCAAGCTGCTCTGTTGCGGCTTGCGCTTTCTCACTCATTACCCTATTGTTTACGATGAGAAGGCAGACTCAGAGGTCAGAACTAACACCTGTGGTAGTGTCACCAACCTGTGGGAGGGCTTACATGCCCTTTGTGATGTCATAAAGGGAAAATTCTTCAAATGGCCTGTTTGACCACACATTTACCTGAAAAACAGAGCAGGCAAAAGATGGAGAGGATGGACATTTCTCATAATTGGTGGGTTTGTAGGCTGACAAATGTTAGAGAAACATGGTGAAGTGCATTTTGCATAATATGTGACCTTTAACACTTGGAAATTTTAAGCTCTATACGCAAACTTGCCCCTTCTTCTTAGATTTGTGCATATATTTGGCTCTTCTTCTTTTTGCCATAAATAAATCCCATATTTATTCTGGTTTGTGTTTACATAGACACAAAATAAAAACACACAGAGCTGCTGGACAATTATTTAAATGGGTGACAAGGAAGTGCAAATGTGCAGTATGTACGCTAAGGTGCCAGAAAACATGATTGTGTAAAATAAAGTGTTAAGCATCTTCCTTCTGTCTTGGGCTGTCTCGGTAGGGAAACATTCATTACTGAAATGTTTTCCGTCTCGTCAGCAGCCCTCGCCTTCACTTTATGTTTTGCTGTTAGGTCAGAAATCTCTCAGCGGATCAACTGTGGCGTGTCGGGAGGAGCGTGGTCTGTCACAAAGGATTCAGAGTTTCAGCTTCGCCCACCACTGCTGCCTTTGACTCGAGGAAGATCATTAAAACTGTCTGCTTTCCTGAGCCTCCACAGCCCTCATGGATCAAGTTAAAATGATTTCTCCTCCGTCCTCCTCTTTTCTCTGGTGCTACAGGCAACATTTTTAAAACCATTATCTTTAACCTGTTATCACAGAAAAACTAAAATTCTTAATCCAACCAATAAATATCAACGACAAGGTGTGTATTCAAGCTAGTATGTATAGATGGCTTCATGACAACTGCAGTGACTAAAGCTTACATGTCGGATCATTGTGTTCCCATTAGTGATCACAACCTCAGGCAGTAAAGAAATGAAACTTTTGTTTCCTCAAGATAACTGTATGACCTGATTACTTCTGTTGAAAGCAGTAAAGACAAGAAATATACTGTAATAGTCTAAAACTTTAAAGCTGTGAGTAGTTTTCAACAGGTTCTGAAAAAGGTTGAAATCAATACTGATGCCTCTTTGTGACCTACAAAGACAAACACAACCATCAGGGACAAGAAAGACAATTTTGATACGCTCGTTTTTAATTTATGTGTCAGACAAGTGGTTATCAGTTTTTTCACATTTTATCTAGGAAAGATTCTCAATGAGTGATACATTTGACTTTTAAAAGAAAGATTTTCTCTTAATTAACAATACATTTATATGTAGAAGACAAGCTCAGCAAAGAAACAACAGGTACTGCTTTTTCCACAGGGGGGCACCACAATCAACAAAAACTGAAAGTTCCTCCAGGAGCTTTAATCATATTTCTAAATATTCACTCACATTCATTCTGTACTATATTGTAGTGATTATGTCTGCTTTACCAGTGTATCCACTCGACTTGAATTATTACATGAAGAAAATCTTTCTCATATCTAAATGAGGCTCAATAAAGATTCTTTTAAGCTAAAGACAGATTTTTTAGAATCAGAATCGGGGATTATTGCCAAGTACGTTTACACATACAAGGAATTTGACTTGGTGTATTGGTGCTAAACAATTAACATGGAAATAAAGCAGAACTAGTAACAACTTAAATAGTACAGTATAAGAAGCTATTACAATATATAAAATAGAATTTAAAAACACAAAATGTACAAAAGGTGCAATGTAGGAGCTGTGCAGTGGACTATGAGAATAAATCTTAATGTGTGTAACTACTCACAGAGTGCATGTAAGGAAGATACATTTTTAAAGTCCAGTGGGCATTAATGTAATGCATAAAGAACAGTTCAGCATTCACATTACTTGATGTTTTAGAGCATCATAGACACCTTTTTCATATCCAATTATACCCAAAAATAAATATTCTAACTTTGATTCACCTGTTGTCGTATCTCTTTATTGCAGAGTTAAAGAAATATATACATCCATGATCATATATTAAATGCTAAACCATACTGAAAGAATGTTTTCTTACTTGAAGAGGCATTTTCATAAACTGTGTTTTCATTACCGCCTTTATCTTTTCTCATAGTTACATTTTAGTAACATCACAAAGAAAGAGCTCAAATACAAACACAACTCCAACACAATACAATGCAGTACAAACACACAACGCAAGGAAGGTTTCCTAGAGATTACACACTAGATTTCATAAACTTGATAGCTTAAATCATTAATACCACTCATTACGGGTGTTTCTGCCTTTTTCTTGCATGATTCAGATACTTATTAATTTTAATACTTGATTCATTTTGATTCTTAAACTCAAATTAAGAATCAAAAGTAGTTTAAAATGAAATATTAAAAAATTTAATTTTATCCCAATATCTATAACAATGGCAATCAAAATTGAATTAAATTTAAGTAATTCAAAGGTGTCAACCATAGATTGTAAATAATAGTGGACAAAGCCTTGGTGACATCACTCGTTATACTGCAAGGGGCTTTGCAGTCCTTCCGATGGCAGTCGTCATTCTGCACTTACACATTGGCTTCATTTTTCAACACCGGAGGTTGCTGCTTGGTATCAACAGGCATTGCACAGAG